TTCACCTCAAGACAAGGAAGCAGAAGGAAAAAAGGATTCTGTTCTGCTAACCCAATCCTGACACATGTGCAAATCCACAACTAACTCCAGCCACCTAGGTACACATCATCCAGCTCACAGTAGGAAGAAGAAGTGCAACGTGATGGTTCACTCAAATTTATAACCAGGCATCATTAGAAATTTATCATCCATTTTACAGTAGGACAATGGCTCCCTACAATCACAAGTGTGAGAACTTATGTTGGCTGGTCCAGCCTTAATCCAACATCCAGGAGGCAGTAGAATGACGAGTTCCAGCCAAAGGAGTGAACTGCATGTTGTTGGATCATCTCCAGTTCATAACCAGGTGGCATCAGGTATTGGTCTTCCAGTCTACAGTAGGAGGAGGGTTCACACCATCTACACCAACAGAACATCACTGCCCTAGTCTCAACTGAATAGGATTGAGCACATTCAGGAGGAAGACTCACTGTTGAAAAAGTATAACTGATACAATACCTTACTTCCACTAGAATTCTACACTGACCAACTGGAAGGGCCAGTGCAACTTTATCAAAACTTTAACAAATCAGCTACAACAGGAGGGTGTGTCATGTGATCATATGCACATTAACCATGTTGAAATGTGAGGTAGGTGGGAGTTTCAAGGCTAGTGGCAAGCAAAAAATTATGCATATAGAGGGCAGTGGTTAGGAGTTGGTAAGTGACAAGGGCTCCCTTAGTCCACATAAAGAAAGGGTGGAATAATGCAGTGGATATTCTGGAGGAATGCAACATTGGAGACAATGCAATGGGTCACCACAAAACCCTATTTTGAAAAGCAGACCAGTCCTGTTTTATTCAATCCAGAAACAGAGAGATGGGTAGCTATCCCAACACTACTTTACTATGGTCTAGGACAGACATAGTTATGATGCAACATATCACAAGGTGAACCTACTAGCAGTCTTGTGGAACACCTCATCTCAACAGTGGGTGTTATAGACCTGAAAGGTCAAACAGTGCAGATTTGGTGGTTGGTCCAGCTCCTTTTCAAAACCATATCCTGGGAACTGACCTCCAGAAAGTGGTAGGATGGGGTTACCCAGCCACAAAATAGACCTGGACAGACACCACTCTCCACAGAACATGATCCCATATGAAGCAGGGCCACTGTAAGGGAAGGAAGTATGTGAAAAGAAAACTTACCCATGCAAAGTTCAACTGATGTGTGTAGTATGACAACAGCCAGCAATCAGTATCTAAAGGAGGAGACAGCCAAATGACGTAAACATCATGCAATGAAAGTGTGCAGTGTGATCCACACCAGCCTGGAAGATTCCCACAAAATGATGAGGAAAGAGAGCAGCCAGAGATAGGGCGAGACATTGAATATAATGGGAGGAGACCATAAAAATGTTGGGAAATGGAAGACAAGGAAGAAGAAGGCAAGTGAATGTGTTGGCAAATTTAACTGGTAAGGGTCATGAGAAGAAGAAGGATTCCAATGGAAAAAAAATAAAGAAGGTGTATGTGCAAAATAACCTCAGTGAGCACAACAGGCAGAGGAGACAATATGGATCAGAATGGGAAGAGAAATGAGAAATGGAAGGGCAGTGTATCAGCATAAAAGTTACATTCCCCTCATGAGCTATCAAGGTCATGTGAAGGAAAGCACGATGGTAACTGATATGTGACACATTGAGAGCATCCAACCTATGATGACTACTGATAAAAAACAGCAAAGCAGGTGGGATAAAAAATAGGTTCCAAAGGAGGCTAATTAAGGGCATAGAACATGACATTGAAATCCTATTCCAGAAGGGACAAAGGGCAAGGAGGAATGGAGGAGACAAAAATAATGAAACAAGAGGGATATGACATAAGAGGAAAAGACAAGGCAGAAATGAAAAAAAAGGACGTTAGAAAACAAGGCCACCATATACTTTGCAATGGTTGAGACAAACTGATCATCATCAAATAGCACAGGGAAAATATGGAATGGTGAGGAATGCAAGAACTTGAAGGCAAGTAAACATGGTGCAGAGACCATCAGCAGATTATGCCATATTCTCCCACAGACCACCAAGAAAGAGGGATGGACTGAACAGGAATTAAGGGATGCTACATGTGTAGAGAGTTTGGATTGCCCTACAAGGGACCAAACATGATACTGGAGTGTGGTTTAGGAAGAATAAAACATTGAAAATCAATACCAATAGAGAAGAGACTGGATAGAGGAAGGAGCAGCAGAGTGGATAGCTGAAGCATTGGAAGATCAGGGAAAAACAGTTGTGCAGGCCATAATGGGCCAATGACAATGATTCAACACATAGTGGCTTGGATGACAAACAAAACCCAGGTAAGGAAATGGATAGGAGGATAGGAATAGCAGTAATCAACAGCCCAGTTCAAACTGAAAACATTTAATACCAGAGCCAACAGCTGAAGAAACCACAATTTATAGCAGCAGGAGTTTTGCTGTGAAAAGGGTGGCAAACTTGGCCCATAGAGAACTCCACCATAAGGCCTGGAGATCATTTCATAGAGAGAATCTTGTTGGGATGAAATAACCAATATGTAACAAGCCAACAGGTGAATGTGTCATGAGTGGTCCCAGAAGAGGAGATCCAATGTTTGAAACCAAAGTAAACAAGAACAGATGCCCCTAGTCAATAGATGAAAGAGACAATGGTTGAATATTGAGAATGGGCCAAGACCAACCAGCCCCATACCAATGGGAGGAAATGATTCAACATCCAACGAACTGAAAGAAGTTCCAAAAGAATCATCTGGAACCCTAACTCAACCAAAGACCAGCAACTTTGTGAGAATCCATATATATGCCTTCTAACCTGTGAGAGATGCATCTGGTGAAAGGTACAACATGGGACAGGGAGTCAAAAAAGGAACACTAACCATAGTGGAGTTCCTGTAGAGCCACCATGCAAAATTGACCTATAGAGAGGGAGGGAGGACAAAAGCAGATCCAAGGGATCCTGAACAACAGTTTACAGATCCTGCAATATCCATGGAAGGTTGTACAAGTGAGCATGACCCAAGTGAAAAAGGGGTTTCCATGGAAATCCAAGCTCTGAAATGTGAAAGAACCTCAATATCAGTGAATAAAGGAGAGAATTCTGAATGAAAAACCATTAGCTGTATCGATCACAACTGAAGTGGAGAAAGCTGGATCCAACTGAGGTAGGTGTTGAAGAGAACCATGAGAATTATGAAGTATTGGATAAGGAGAAGGAAGGACATCTCCAACTAGACAAACCAACCAATATGTGTAGCTTTCCAAAAGAAAAAGTGTGTGAGTATGTGAAGCCTGTATAGACAGAGCCAATGGCTGTCAGTTGTCAATCTGATGAAGAAACTGTAAACAAGTAGATCCCACCAACAGAAGAGTGAAGAATACAGGGACAAAGATAAGGGAAGAAGTCTCCCCCGAAAACCCCAAAAGGGCCCGGTGGATAGACATGGTGAGAAGGAAAAGGTAGAGAAAAATGGGAAAACTGAGCCTGTGCACAATACTCGACATTTTCGGGGTTTGATTCCCATGCCTGAATGAAAAATTGAAGGTTTGAGAGTTGAGGGAAAAAAATGCAGATCCCAGCATATAAGTGGGCTGTGAAGTAAACAGCATGGACCATGGAATCTGTGTAAGAAGGGTACTCTAACAAACAGACAAAATAATAAATAAATTTAGCATGTTCACACCAACAGTATGCTTGAAACAGATAAAAGATACCACACATAGTTGACAAAAATGTGGGAACCTTTGTAGGCTTATTCCTTGACCACATTAAACACATAGGGTAGATGGGAGTATCAAGACTAGTCGTGAGCAAGAATTTACGAATATAGAGGGCAGAACTGAAGAATAAAAGCTATTATGTGAGAAGAGGTAAAGTATTGTATCGGAATTCAAACAGTGATAGTGAAAAATCAATTAAAATGTTTTTAATAGACTGCATTCACTTCTTCTAATCAGATCCATATTTTACAGTACATGCAATAGTAAGTTGTGCTAGTAACATTTATTGCAAGCTTAATGACAGATTTCATTAATTCCATGACAAATAATTTGTTCTATTTGCAATAAATCAATAAAAATGAAATAAAGCTGTCACGATTTTAAACAAGAAAAGCCACTATTTTTATACCTATTTAGAATTCAGATAAACAACTGATTACCAGAATGTACAGTACAATTAACATTTGATATTACAAAGTACTCAGCATGCATCAAAAATCTCAGTGCAAACTTAAATATTCAGGCTCAAGATTAGGTAACACTCCAACCTTTTTAATTTGTTCAAGAACTCGTTGATATAGAGCTCTCAGGGATATATATCGCATCCTCAATTTTTCTGTCAATGTTACCTGAAACATGGACAGAATATAGCACCGCAAGTTTAAAAACTGCATTATTTATACATATATACCTCTTTTAAGCTTTTATAAAATAAAACTTTTAATAACTTACAAAAATCCTGTAGTATTCTATTATACTATGTTTATCATGTATTAACAAGTTAGGTTAATTTGAAAATGATTATTTTTTTAATTCTCTGATGCCTGATATTCTTATTATTATACCAGCATACTGACTATTGCAGTATTTCACATTAGTTTTATTTCATTTGAAGGAAACTAATATCTCTATCCCTAGTGGTTTTCACAGAATATTATACTGGGATTTAATTCTATAATACACAATCAAACATTTTAAAAGTATAAATTATGACTCATTTAAATTCATAGTAGATACATGATAATAAATAAATTACTATTAGTGATTAGAGATTTCCTTTTGTATTTAATTGTACTGCTATAAAATTTTAGTTTTAATATTTTCCCGTTAAAATGTCTAATTTTAAAAGTATTCCATTTATTCATTTTTTAAAAAGAGAAGAGAGACAACTAATTTCACTTAAGAAAAACAAGATAAATGCGTATATGATATAATTTCTCATGATATGTTTACCTTAGCTTTAATTTTCTCCTGAAAATACCTCTGCACTTTTTCTGCCATCACATTTCCTGTTCGTGGATGGAGAGATCCTCTGGTAATATCTCGATCAAAGCTGCACTGTGCCTTTTTCAGTTCTGTAAATCTGTTCTCTGACTCTTCAATTTCAGCCTACAAAACATGTTAAGAACTGTTTATGTAATACAGAAAGACCTATTTAAGTCTGTTCATTGACTTCTCATAATTCTAAATAAAGTGTGCCTAAAGACAATAGTTTTTTAAATCACCAATCTTAACATAAAGGGTGTGAAAACTAACTATTTAATAGGTTTTACATCTAACTTCTTATATGACATGTTATCACTTTATGCACAAGTTTGGTCCATTGCACCAAGCTTTTATTAGAAAAGTTAACATTTTCCTTATCTGAAAATGTATTTATGACAGATACTTATCCCTCTAAACACAGTATTTCTCATGAATCTGCCTTTGAGATGTTGTGCATGCAACTAGCCTTAAGCTCCTTCCACCTTAAACATGTATTAGGTCATGAAAAACTGATAAAAGAGTGACATATCTTTCATGTGCAGTAAATTCCCAAAAGCATTTGCATTAAAAATTAACTTAATTCTTAGATGAAACAAGAATAAGGTACACCAGTAGTGGGGAGGAAGGGTGGGAAGGTGTGCAGAAGGAAGTATTTATAGGAAATACACTTTCAGATATGGAAAATGTTAACTTCTAAAACCATATTGTTTTCATCTCTTCACACAGTACCTAAAACCCTGCAGTGATGTGATGGAGGGGTTTCTGAAATTGTTAAAACCTAGATAATCTCCCTTCAGAGAAGATGACTGAAGGAGAAAGCCCATGGAGTATGACACACTATAGTGGGAACTTACTAGAGGGGTAACACTTGTGTGAGACTGCCCTGCCATACTTTCCACTCTGCCCTCTCAGACTTTCTCCAGAAAGATTGCATAATTGGTAAGGATCTCTACAAGCCAATCATCCAAACAGCTAGGAACTAGTAGTTTCAAGGGTCTCCCGTACTCCACTCGATGACAATGGGGGAGGGATTGCATTGGGGAGACACTGGAGAGGTGACCAGATCAGATTGGGCATAACCACTGCAAAGGTTTTTACTGGAGAAAGTGCAATAGTTTACCATAAAACATACTTTGAAAAGCTGACATGCACAAGCTTGGTACTGGCTTTTTCTGTGATATTCCATGTGAGGTACAGTCTGAAATGGACAAAGAAATATATATATATATATAACTGTAGTGGTATGGCAGAAAAATCATCAGTGGGCATTTTAGGAGCCAGGGCAGATAACTTTAATGCTTTCCATTATTCCTGACTCAAGGCAGGTTAAGAGAAGTAAGTATACCATGGGAGGCAACACCAGTCAGTGGATTGGTTCCAAGAAATGAATAGGAGTACATTATAAACAGGTAAAGAAATAAATAACTTATACATTAATGACAGTAAATATACTGAGAGTGGCAACTGGAGGATGGCAATAACCCAAGAACAACAAAACTGCAAATAATGAGAGATGAAGGTGTTGGGCATAGTCCACATTCCAGCCTGGAAGATTTTGTCAAGGGTCATGAATAGTGTAAGGACAGAGAGTGAATCCAGTTGTGAATTTAATGTGAAGAGATGTAATACAGCATGTGAGCATCTCCATCTAGGGAGGACTAGATGATCTGGATAAGCTGACAAATCCATTTGGTAAACATTGATGACATGAGATCCCTGGAAGAAAAGAGGTCGATGGCAAGAATAAACTCTTGTGGAAATCTTGAAATGAAGCCTTCTATGCCAAGTAACACCTGACCACCAAACTGAACACAAAAGGCGATCAGGCAGTTGAATCATAAAGGACCGAGATCAATGGAAGAAATATGGGAGAAAAGGTATGCTTTCCTTCTTCAGCTGCCCAAGTCTTTAGAAAAAACAAGCAGTCATGGAATTCAATAAAACAAAGTACAGGAGGCATCCATACATAAAGATCTGACCTGTAATGACCACTAGCAAAAGGGAGAGGGAAATAGGTTTCAAGAGAGATTTGGTATAAGGTTCAAGAGGCCAATGGTTCAAACAAGGCCTGGGTGAGTGTGTGAGAACCCATATTAAGGTTCCAGTTAGGGAAAGGAATCACACAAGTGGGACAATTAATTAGGAAGGATCAGCACAGATTGGGAAGATCAGGGGCAGAAAGACTCAACTATAGCAAAAATGGTGGAAGATGATCAACAAAGCTGCCCAAAGCCTGTGATGATAGAAACCAATAATCCTTAGTTGAACAACCAAGTAAAGAAGGCCAAAAGGTGGACAACAGTATGATGGCCTGGTGGTAGAGAGTGGTTTATGGGCCAGCAGTGACAAACATGCTACTGCTGTTGATAAGCAGAGATAGTAGAAGGGCACCACGAATGAGATAACAGAAAGGCTATATGGTCAAAGAAACCTGACCAATGAGTAAGGGATCTGAGAAATCCCACATGTGAAGGTGCAGAGATGAAACTTTCTGGTGAAAGAGAGACATATGAGGTTGAAGCAAGAGTGACTGTGATAGAAACAGAGGAAGAGGTGCCCTGAATGCCATTCAGTGAAGAAGAGAAAACCAAGACTGAGCTGTCAGGTGAGGTACAGGAACCAGATATAAACATTTTTCTTACACTAAAAGTGTATTTCCAATACATTCTTATCCTCTAAGCAATGCTAAAAAATATTGCGATCAGCACAACAGTCTATATACCCCAACAATTTCATGCCATTTTTGAACATGCATATCATGTGACTCTTCTCCATTCATTGTATTGTGCCACCTATATTGGCACAGCTAGCTACCCCTGCTATTCCCACTCAATCCTCACTTTCAAGAATTGGCAAGCTCCAAAAAAAGAACACTGGCAGTAAGGAGGAAGGGTGGGAACTGTGTGGAAGGTAAGTACCTATTGGAAATACATTTTCAGTACAAGAAAATGTTAACTTCCAATATGGTCTTACCTACTCTCACACAAAACTAAAATCCCACATTGCAATGGTGGAGGGGCCTGAGTAGGCACACAAAAAAGATACCAAGTGGAAAGCAACCACCCAGAATGTAAGGTTGTGCTCTGAAGTGAAAACAAAGCACTCTTGTAGAGTACAGCACTACTTACGAAAAAGGTATGTTCTTCATCTTGGAAGTAGGAAATTAATCTGAATCACGCAGAAAAAAAAAAGGATGTGCACAAATGTAATTTGTTCTGAGAGGTACAATTCATAGCAAAATATAAACAGAATTAGCTCTGTACATTCACAACCTCAACCAGACAGATGAGGTTCCATAACTCATTCTTAGCATTAGGAGGTTGAGGACGAAAAAAAAATGTAACATCAACATAGTGGCTAGGACATGAGGACCATGTTATATATACCCATCAACCCTAACCATAAGTAAACACAGTTTCTTTCATCAAGCAACCAGAATTACGAACAGGAAGTAAGCTGTCAGCTAAAACCAGACAAACTCCCAAAACAACCGTAGGAGCAAGAAGTACAACAAACCAAACCCAGCACTATGGGATCATAGCATTGCTGCAACTCCACTGTAAGAACTAGGTAATATCTGTAACTGGTATTACGAGCAAAATCACAACTCACTCAACTAAATGCAGGGAAGAAACATTCTGCATCTGAAATTATGAGGAGGACATGGAAGAATCAATCAACCATTGGAACAGTGTGCATACACCCTACTGCCAGGATTTCGAGGCAGACGAAGTCCTCCAAACTCAACCATAGGAGTAGGGAAAACCTCCTGCAACTGGAATTAAAGAGAGGAAAGGCTTCTATTGCACACAACTGTAGGAACAGGATGGTGTCATCCTGAACCTATTGTTATGAGGAGGATCCGAGTAGGCTGGACATGCTCCAACCAACATCTGTCCACTTGAGAAAAAGCATCCAGGGGAAATGGAAGGAGGGAAACCAGCTTTGTTCTCTTATCACTGAATATATAATATTGAGTAGGTATGGTAGAGTAAATACTAAATTCACTGAGAAAGAAGCCTCCATCACTGTAGCAACTGGGGACTGGGAAGTTGTAAGGATTCCCATGCTCCACTGGAAGAAAAAAGAGAAAAGTAAACATGGTGGGGAGTCCAGATGTATGTCATGCAAGAGCAAGTGCAATGGGTGTCCACAATTCCCTATTTTGAAAAGCAGACCAACTCTGATTTATTCAGTCAAAGGGTTGGCTGGGATGGACAGAAATCCATGAGTGACAGTTCATCATTGAGTGAAAGTTGTAAATACCTAGAAACATATATATATACCACTGGTTATACCACCATCTCTACAGTAAGCATTATAGTGCAATTAGTAAATAGTGCAGGTTTGAGGCAAAGCATACCTGACCAGGCAATACCCGACATAGAGTTGGATCCCAATATAAGTGTTTAAAACTAGGGTTACTTAAAATAAAAACAGAAGCAAAAGGAAGTGACAAGACTTACCCTAGTCAAAAGGAATGGACATGTGTACAATCACCACATGAGGGAGATGATATCTACCAGAGAAAGATACAGCCAGATTGTGCATATCAACAAAGGTATTGGGAGTAGTCCACATTACAGCCTGGATGATTTCCTCCAACAGACAGCAAACGTAAGAAGCAAAAGATATGGTGATATGATGAGAAGAAACACTGTGAATATGGCGACTTTTTATGGATAACTCCAAATACACCAGCCTAATGAGTTGATTAACCCAACCAGTTAACGTGACAAGGGATAGATCACAGAAAATAGAAGGGTTCCAGGAATTAAAAGTTGGGCTCTTAAATCCCAAAAGAAAGCAGGGTGTGCCACATAACACTATGAGGAACAAAATGGACAAAGAAGCAGATCAAAATTAGAATGGGAGTATGGGTGGGAGAAGGAATTTAAGGAAATGGATGTGAAAGTAAAACAGCCTTCATGAGTGGCATAGGTCTGAGAGAGAAAGAACCAGTCAGGATAAAGGAGGACACAGAAGGAATGGCAGAGGAGCAGGTAACATTAAAGTTAGAAATATCTGATAGATGATGTCCACAATCAAGAAAGAGAAGGAAATTGGTTTTGAGAGACAGATGGTAGATGGAACATGAAGACAAAGATTCCAAAGGAGGATGG